GTGACGGACCCACACCACCCTGTCTTCTGTTTGTTCTTACGCGCTCGGCGCCGCTGCGGAAGAATGTGCTGATAACAAGACTGAAGCGAACACCCAGGCTTATCACATATTTAAAGATTGAAAGGGAGAAAACAGGACCGAGAACACTATTATTCTAGCGATATGTAGGCCTAATGCGAGATAAGGTTTGCTAGTACTGTAGTACATTTGTAATGGGTTTCAGTTGTTATGCGAAAAAGGTGGCGGGAACCGGTGAACCTTGAACAAGTTTAATAATAAATAAACACATACAAAATGAAAGTATAAGCAAATAGCCCCTCACGGACAACACACAAAACGGAATATAAAATCACAACATAAATGCCGTCGCTCCTCCTTTATGCCTCCGCCTCTCCAAGAGAGATGCGAGACCGGTGCGTCTCACAGGTGTCGTTCATTATCACTGACGCCACTGGCCTCGGGCCGCTCTCATGTCCCTGTCTCTCAGCCTCATCCTGCTTGCCATAATATTACTTCAGCAACATGACAAGCCAGGTTTATTTGAATTATCAAGTTTCAATTGTTGCTTTGCACAGTGTGTGACATTTTATCTACATGTAACACGGCAAGAGTTTTGGCTCCGAGTCATTGGACTCTGTCTTGTCTTGTTTTATGAGCAGGTGCCACTCGAGAAATTGGCAGTTGTTTCTCCGCCATTAGCACAGCTGCAGCACACTGGCAATCTTGAGTTTGGTTTGAATGACGGCACGCTGCAAGAGAGGGGTGTGATCAGCACGTACACAAGCGTGATTGACACTGCTAATACACTCCTCCTGGCTCTGATTGGTTGTTTCTGACCAGGAGCGGCGTATTCCTGCAAATGGCAATTGGACCACTGGCAGGAGCCAAATGAGCTTGATTTTCACAGAAAATCATCTGTCTCAAATTCTACTGTCAGGACATAATGACAGTTTTAAAAAATATGTAAAAAATATTTGTTTACAAAAGTTACCTATTGCAACTTTAAGGCGGCAGGTGTGTGTTCCTTAGGCAGCCGTCTTAGTTTCAAATTGCTGCCGGAAACCCTGGCTTTTTGATAGAGGCCTTTTTTTTTTTTTTAAATCTCAAGGCTGTATTAATAATTTATGGGTACTTTGGCTCGATTTGATATTATAGCTTGGGATAAACTCTCGTAATTGATCTCTGCAACATCCTGACAGAGATATATTAGTACAGTAATACATTTTGCAATGTTTACTCTTGCTTATCTATCCATCAGCAGTTATGATAAATTAATTTTCTGTGGAATACACAGCAAGCTCATTTATCTTCAATCTGTGTAAATAGACTTTGATCACCTGGGAACTAGGAGTACCCTCTCGCCCACAATGTAGCAGTAATGAGATTAAGAATGGGTTAGTGTTGACAGAGTTCTGTGGGTCTTAATAATTTAAAGACTAATTAATTGCCTGGTGCCCGAGTTTTTTGTTTAGGCCACAGAGCATCATAAAAGAAACACCGTTCAATGTAATCGTTGCGCTTGGCTCTGAGTAGAAACATGAGTAGAACAAGTACAACCAGATTTTTGATAAAGACCAGATTTTTTTTCCCACATAGCGAAACTTGTTGGTTTCAGTAAATCAAAACATTTTGTGTCAGATGCAGGCTTTATTACCCAGCTGGGATCTTACATGTTTATGCTTTTGGTAAATTATTTATTATATGATCAAATTGTTAGAATTTTTTGTAGAATAAAAATGTAACTGATTTATTATTAAACTGAGCAGTGTTTGAATTTATAATTATTTTAGCTGCCTCATACCCAGCTAAGTCTCAATCACAAATTTATATTTGCATTAAGTTTTTAAAATGAATTTAGCAAGGAATTGTTTCCTTTTGATTTTAGCTTGCTTTATCATTTGTCTTTTAAAAGCTTTATATAAAATGCCGGCTGATGTTTTGGCATTGCCCTGAGAAATTAATTTTAAGATTGGCATCCGGCATGCTGAAAAGAAAGTGCAGGTGCATCACAGCTTTAGTGTAATATGATTAGGGGTTGAATAACCTATTCATCTTTCTTTCTTTCTGTCATGAAGGACATATTTGTGAAGCCACATTTCAGCTGAGAGTTTGTTACCAAGGGAGAGAGAGAGAGAGAAATTAGGACAGTTTGACAGTATACAACTGTACACAGAAAAAACCCAGTGCCTTTTTATCTATTTATTTATTTTTTTACTGTCAATCATCCAAGTAAAAGTTTTCTATGCCTAGTAAATTCAATTTAAACATCTCCACAACTGACAGAAATGTGTCCCTGTGGCAATTGGTAGTAAACAGCTCTTGGAACAGAAATGTTCTCGAATTTGAGAGAACTATTTACTGGATGTTCGTTAAGTTTGATCAGTTAGGCATATGGACATTCTCTGAAAACTTTGCCCATATATAATGCACTAACAGCTGGAAGAAACTTATTTATTTGACAGCACAGTAACACAGATGGTGTGTGATGGCAGATGTTATCAAATGGGTGGTGAAAGAAAACAAACGACATTATTGACTATAAAGTTCAACGGTGGTGATTTCCAGTCATCAAGAGCACACCAGCTTTAAGCCAGCTTTATATATATATATATATATATATATATATATATATATATATATATATATATATATACTGTATGTATGTTATCGGCTGAGGGTTTTTTTCCATTTATTGTTATGGCAGATTATATTGGACATTTCCTTGTTCATGCTCATTTTCCCTATTTTTACATTTAGATCGCTGTCATCTAATGCTCACTTAAAGTTAAAAACACTGTTACATGTATTCTTTAGCATATCTAAAATAAATATCTATTATTATAATATTATTCATTATTATTTAATTTCATACTGTACATTATAATGTTGTGATGCCTAAATTCACTTGTTTAATTTGAGATTTTAGTGTAATTTGTCAGTTATAATCCATTAAATTTAAATAGCTATTAGCCACTATGAGACAGACAGAAGTTTAATATTGGAGTATTTCTATTATATGTGAGTGACCTTTTTCATCAAAACATTTCATTGGTCTCAGCATGTGGCTTAGTATGCAATTAAAGCCCATATTAAATCCAATATATAAAATTCTGCCCAACACTGATAAGCTGACAATTATTTTCATGTTATGGCCAATATTACATATTGAAAACACATTGTGTGCAAATGTATGAAATGTATGTTTATAATATCTAAAAAATGGATATTCATTTTGAGATTTAGATAAGCTGAACTTAAACGGTATAGGAATCTTTATTAAAAAACAGGGATAATGAGCATGACACTCTCCATCAACATAATCATTGTCATCATCTTTTCATTTAAAAGAGGCTCATCGAGGATTCTTAAGTTATTATCCACTGATGAGAATCTCTTAAAATCTCAATTAAGACATTTAGGCACTTTGCCATTCAAGGCGATGCAACAATTTATTTTTTAATCCTTTCTGGATAATTTATCCTTTGTGCATTCTTTCTAACAGACGATTCAATCTGAGAAGGAACTAAATTGGCTTTAAAGCCGTCAAATACCGCTTTTATGACATCCAAACACAAACACTAGGACCATTAGTGGCTCATTTCTACTAGAGGATGTTGGCTAACCAAGATCTGCCGTCAATCCCCCTTCAAACGAGAAGCTCTGACAGATGTATGTGCCCTCTCCAAGAGTGGGAAAGCACAGTTCACACTTTTCTGTTATACAGAAAATATATTTCACAACACTCAGAATAAAGAACAAGAATGGGAACAACAGAGGTGTCTCTAGAGGCAAGCTCCCGCATTCACTTTATCATTGCCACAGAGGAAGAACAGAGGCATCTTAAAGCTATAGAATACAAATGAGAAACACAAGCCTCAATGTCACAGGGATGTTACTAATGGACTGTAGAAATATCTTTCAAATGATGCTCATGAATACCCTATTATCAGATATAAAGACTGCATGAACCGGATGAATCATTAGTCATTCACATGAATCGTTCTGATTTCACACATGCCCACTGTAATGACTTTTACTTGACATAACTCAGGCCCAGATTGTTTATTTACATCACATCTGAGCTTTATGAGGGAAAATCTGTATAATTTTGTCGCATCAGTCCATACTTTATATTTAACTGTGCATGCTCATTTCTTCTATTTTGTTTTATAAACTTTAGAGATCCATTTTTCATTCTGTATATTGTTGCGATGTCTATTGTAGCATTTAAAAACAATGGATTTTTTATATATATATATATATATATATATTGTATTTTTTTAGTTTTTTAGTCAGTCAGTTTGGTTCTGTTCACATTATATGCAGATATAAGCTCTTGCTTAAATTTTTGAGAGTTAATTAATTTGTAAGTTTTCTAATGTAATGTAAGCCACAGAACATGTCATGAAGACAAACCACACCATATGGGCCGCAGAGGTCCAGAGCCCACACGCGAATAATGTCTTAATATCATCAGACATTCGCAACGAGTACCTGTGCGGCCCAGCATGGAGCTACATCCATTGTGAGACGCAGAAAAGCTCAGAATCCTGGACATGACCAGAATACATATTGCTCTCACTGAGCTTCGAGGGTGACGGACCCCCATTCAGAACCATTACATCCTATCAGCAGCGCTGATCATTGCCCAGCCCCTCTCATTAGCCCTTGACTATCTGCTGAGAAATTGAAGTGGAAGTTGTCACACATGATCCAGTAGAGCCAGCAGATGTTGCAAGAGCATAAAGTGATGTTTTACAGCAATTTAAACCTCCAAATAGAAAATTAAACCTTTGGAGGACAGCTTTTTGAAATGTGAAGCCTTTCCAAAAAGGGTCTTATATTGTAGTGCAGGCTGTAACTAGAAACTTGTGATTCCTTGAGCTGCGACGCTTTAAGGCCACCCGTCAAGGACCTGATGAATTAATCCAGCCATACAAAAACCACATGAGTTCGGCTCAGCATCTTCACAAAAAGAAACTTTTAAAATGCAAACTTACCTCATATTCAACATATTCCTCTTCCTCCACCTCATAAGACACAGTCTGGATTTTCACCTCGTTTTCGTCCAGCAGTTTAGCCTGTGGGTCCTCCGTACTGGGGGTCTCCACCGCTACGTCCTTGTCTTTCTTCTCCATGAAGGTGGTCTCACAGCACTCGTTTTTGTAATCCTTGCCCTTGCTGCTCACGTCGTCCTTGTAAAGAATGAAGTTAGGCTTGTAAAAGGCCTCCACCGCTAGGTGAAGCGAGGTGGCGTCCAATAGCTGGGCTTTAGCCTTGCCGTTTCCTCCTGTGACCGCAACCCCACCACCGCCGCCGCCTCCTCCTCCTCCGCCTCCTCCACCAGTCACAAAGTAGTTTATAATGTTCTCCTGATACTGGTTGCTGTGGAAGTCACCACCATAACCATAGTCGGCCATAACCATATGCTTGCTGTTTTTATCTAGAAGAGGGTTCTGAAGCTCACTTAGGCTCTCCATTGTTGAAGAGCAGAGTGCCGGGACTCAGTGTTTAACAGCCGGATGGAGAATGAAGGGAAGAAGTGATGACCTTGCCTGGACTGATGTGACAGGTGCTAATGTGTTCAATAGGCCGTGAGCTGTAGTTGGAGTGAGAGGAGAGAGAAGTGAGGGAGAAAGAGAGGAAAAGACATGGACTATTGAGCAAATGCAGAGGAAAAGTTTAATAAGACCGAACTGCCACAATGGACAGGTGCTGGGCAATGGAAAGGCATCCATGCAGATAATACAATGATGTCTGTTAAGCTACAGTTGATCTGCGAAGACTATTTTTGGGGGCTATGTCTTAAAAATTACAGATTGAAGAGTTTTGCAACTAAGTAGTGAGTGACTGTACATTGTCAGTCTGAGAGAGAGAGCTTTTTTCTGTCCCATTCCTCTCGACCTAACTGATAAAATGTGGTTATCAGACAGATTTTAATTAACTTTATTCTGCTGCCCCATGATACTCGCTGATAACCCTGCTGAATGGGCATGCCGGATAATTCATTTGCCCATGAAGGTAAAGTAGACATCTTTGTTATAAAGGCAAAACATGCCCAATGACCGATCCTAAATGCCTAACTGGCCATTCAGAATTGAATTGAAGGGGAAATATGTAGTTAGTCTTACATAGGCAGACTTTTGAATAGGCAGTAAGTGTGCATAGTCAATTATCTATCAATCATGTATTACTACAAAACAGACTTTTTTTTTTTTAATTAGTTTCTTTAGTGGATGTTTGTGTCATGACGTGCAAGTTGTTCGGGATTCTAGCTTCCGATGACTTAATTTATGATAAGGCAGTGTTTTCATCATCTGCCTCCTGATTACTAAACACATTGGCCCTCATTTATCAAAAGTGCGTACACCACATTTCCAGCGTACACCTTGCGTACACTCAAAACCACTGTGAGTTTGAGATTTATCAATATGGACGTTGGCGTACGGCACGCTCGAATCCTACACCAGCTCAGGAGGTGGTGTACGCACGTTTTGAGTTAGTGAGGAAATGCGCAGAAAAATTCCTAACACCACAAAACGCACTGACAAACTAAAAGATATGATATATTATGACCCACTGTAAAACAAACAAACAAACAAACAAAAAAACAACATAGAAATTATAAACTTCAGTATTTATTTTTGTGTAACGTGGACTTCAATGTTTAATTTGTGTGACTTTACCAAAGCATTTGATTTGTAAGCATATAATATTCCTTCAGTTGCGAGCCCACTTTACCCTGACGTTTCAGGATTATCCCCGGCAGGTGCGCACGGACTGGGTTCGGTAGCCTAATGAAAGGCTTTCATTGACCAAAAAATAATTCAGACTGACAAAATAATAAAAAATACATTCTTCTTCTTTTAATGATGATAATAATAGAAATAATAATAACGACATCCTTCTTCTAAATAACAATAAGCATCATTAATGCAAATCATAATAATAAGAAGAATACTATTACAAATTGTCATGCAATTATTAATGTGAATGAATGGTACTTCACATCACATCACATCATCATCATCACTATTATACATGTGACGTGATTCGAAATTGAATGCTAATGGGCTATATGCACGCATAAGTTCCGCATTTGACGCAAGGATGCTCGTCCATTTCCGGTTGTGTAGATTAAAGCGGAGGAAAACCGGAGAAAACGGGATTATGGCAGAGTCTTCAATATTTACTGTCCTCCCGTCTTTGAAACGAAACGTACATGTTTAGATATAATTTTATATATAGTTATGTTTATTTAATATAATTTTAAAAAGAAGCATAAACACAACGAGGGGTGTCTGTTTTATATGTTTTTGTGACTAACGTTTCATTAGTATAACCATGGAGTATAAAATTCAATATAAATTCTCGCTATTGCATTGGACTCTATGATCGGCGGAAGTTATCGAGCATCCTTAATCCTTCACCGGAAATAACGCCGTGCATAGAGCCCATTTCAAAAGACGTGCTGTAAAATAATGCATTGTGATAGGTCATTTCGTCTCCACGTCGGAGAAGTTTCTCTTCTTTGCCGTCTTCCGTGTGTCCATGGCGTAAAATAAGGGCGTGGGGGGAGCGGAGACTTGAATATTTAGGGGCGTGTTATTCTAATGACGATCGTTTTCGGCCGCGGGATTTATCTAGGGCAGGCATTGCGTACACCTGGATTTCAAAGGTACGCACATCTTCATAAATCAGGCGGTGAGAGGAGTGTAAGTATAATCTTACACCAAAATATACACCCGTTTCTACGCAAGAGTGATAAATGAGGGCCATTGTGCTTACCTAGATTGATTTAATCTATAAATCGGTCGTCAATTAATCATATATTTACTGCAAAGCCAAGTGTTTGACCGAAATCTTTCAAGTTTTGATGTCACTAATCATGAATTTGTTTTTCCTCAAAAGTGCTCATTGCATCATGGAATAATAGTGAACTTATTAAAACATACTTGCGTGCCCTTACTTTGGGAAACGGTGTAAAGTCAGCCAATCAGATAAGTCCTTGCCAGATCTAGAAACTGCTTTCCAATTTTGTGTGCAGTGTGCATCAGAGGATCAGTGGCTGGTCTGTAGGTGTGCTGTCTGAGGCTGAGACTAGTATGTATCAGTTTCTCTAATGTGCGACTGATGTGAAGTTAAATAATCTACCAGGTTATTGATGCTCTTTAACTGAGCACATCAATTGTACTCGGATCTAAATCCTGTCAAAACTCTTTTGATTGGAGAAAACGGCATGTAGCCACAGTGGTGGGTGTGCCCTCTCCTACCTTCTCCTCATTAATCTGTGATTAAAATAGCAACACAATCGGGTAGAAAGCAGATTATTTCGAGAGCTTTTGATTTGATTGTGCCGATGCCTCCGGGGATTGTCAAATGTAGGATCATGCGTTAAGGAATGCTGACTTTATGCTTGACAGATTGAATGAGCTCCCCAATTCTCAATACGCATTTCAACACAGTCAGCATACTGAGCACATTCTCCCAGTGCAATAATAGTACACCATCAGAGCTAACTAATGAAAAGATGCTGTCGAGATCAAATTATGAATTAGGGAATAGATTGATGATTAGTTATTCTAGGAGCCTTCCCAGTTTGAATGTCAATCTCTCTCTTTCTCTCTCTGGCTGCATTGATTCCTGGACAGTTTCGACCTGCATCTTCAACAACGTGTCTGCTGCAGATCCATTCCTCACATTAACTCCCTCTCCTATCATCATTTCTCAACCCACCTATTTAAAACAAGGGTCTATTTGTGATGAAAAAGACTAGTGGTTGTGGAAAAGTGTGTGCATTAGTTGCTTATGTAAGGCTGGTCCTAACTATAACAATTAAGTTGTATAATCAAAAAGAACAACAAAAAACAGCTACGGCTTTTATTTTATTTTTTTTTTAAGTAATATATACAGCGGTTGTTCATATTTAATTTTGAAATATATTAAATAATCTTTAAATAAAATACATTTAAAAATTAATTAAATTATGTTTTTATGTATGGTTTCTTTGTTTTCTAATTAAAATACAATTTGTTTTTTAAAATGAGGCCATGCTTAAATTGCCTGAAATCCGAGTGCCAGTAGGATGTCACAGCAGACCTAATTTCCATTTTTGCTACTCCATGCTTGTAGGCTGCACCACCCTGGCAATTGAAAACAGAAAAGAAAAAAGTCCCCTAGGTTCTAACTGCCATTGGGATCTTGGAAATGTGAAATTTCACATGCTGGCCTTAAAGCCTTTCTTGTCAAAAAGAGACAGGCCTTGGCCTGTGAAACATGCAAGCATATGCTGTTGTTTGTAGCTGAGAGGTCAGAAACTGTTTACAGATATAGTTTTCGAATTGGTTGTATATGACTCTTTCATTGGTGGAAAATCTTTGACTACGTTTACATGCAGACAATTTCGGGTTATGGTCGGGTTAAGGTCACTATTCGGGTTTCTGAAACATTAGGAATAACCTGTTTAAATGCGTGAGCAGAGAGAGTTTCTCCTGTATACATGGAATTGCAATATCCCGACGTAAACAGCGACGGGCGGTTAACGTCTACGTACGGACAACCTTAAGACGCTATATGCGTCATTTCCGATTCCTGGTCTCGCCATGTTTACTTCCGGTATACTGTACGCGGATTTTTGTATGCGCCGAGAAGTTTCTCTACTCAAAAGACGAAGATTCCTTGCAAATAGAACATGCGCAGAACACAAATCATTATGGGGATATGCCGATACGCGTTTACATGACCAAAAATTCAGGTTAGAAAAGGGGTACCCCAGGTATAATATAAAATATGAGCAAATTCTGGTTTTGCAAATGGGTTGCAAATGGGTTGCTAATATCCCGGTTTTGAATGGGTTATTGGCTGCATGTAAACGTAGTCAAATTTTAATTTAATTAAATTTTAATTAAATTACATGTATTGTCTTTGGATACAGGAAGAAGAATCCGAAATGACGCATATTGCGCCTTAATGTTGTCCTTATGTCTAGACGCTAACCGCGCATCGCCGTTTACATCGGGGTATTGCAATACAGTAGAAACTCTCTCTGCTCACGCATGTAAACGGGTTATTCCTAATGTTTCAGAAACCCAAATAGTGACCTTAACCCGACCATAACCCGAAAATTGGCTGCATGTAAATGTAGTCTGTGTCACTCGTGGTGGTGCTCAGAGAAACATCCACTCAGAAGATGAGTAAGGTAGGGTAAGGTGAAAGCTTACACAAAACTTCATTTTCTTCTGTCATGTCAAACTAGTATATAACAGTAAAGCTTGCTTATAGGCTTGTTATACCACCGTTCAGGAGGGGCAATATGATGTAAAATTTTATATCAGAGTAAAGGAAAAACTTTATGAATGAAACTTACTTGACACTTGAAATAAATAATTAAATAATGTAGGCCTAGTTAATGTCAACACTTTTCTAGCTTTTCTTGTGATTTTTGCCACCCGTCATGTGTACAGATACTTTTCATACACAGACACACAGGTGGTTGCCATAGTAACGAACAACAATACCTTAACATGCTGACTTATGTGGATTAACTTTCGTTTGAGGAAATCTGTTTATAGGCTATTAGGTTTGGACTTGATTCAGTTGATTTGAATAAATATATCTATAATGGATAATGTTGCTTAAGTTTAATATACAATGCAAAGCAAGCAAGCAGACTATAGTCAGTTGCAAAATTTCCATTCAAACGTTTATGAAATGAGTTGTTACGCACATCCCTAGTTAAGAGTGTTCAACTGTTTTCTGTGTTTTTTGCTGAATTTTACACTGAATTAAAAGGTCTGCTTGTAATGCAACTGACACAGCAATAAAATGTTACACTTTGCAGAGCATATTAAATAAAATAAGATTCTGTTTTTAATGGTACATGTAGATGACATTTAGCATTTTAATTTAGTTTATCTTTACATAATTTGACATGACAATATTATTGTAGACAATGTCATTGTTATGTACAGATTCATTTGAGAGAGCTATCAGAGATATGATTTGTCAGAATTTGCTATGTTAAAATAATTGAACTGTAGAATTGCTCGTGATTCATTTCATCATTTAGGCAGAAGCAATTCAGCTTAAAAAGTGTCTTATGACAAATAACTGTCTGGTAAGTCAGGGTGTCCTTCAGTCATTCACAATCCTAAAGCTTTTAAACCGATGCATTTCTCTTCTATCTTCTTTTTTAAGATCCTTGAATGGGTTTTGTGTGGAACCTTATCACACGGAGTTGGAAAGATTAAAGCCACTTCCAGTAGCAATTCAAACTGGACACATCTTTTTTAAACGGTGATCATGGCAAACACTATTTAGCTATTTATTATGACTATGGTGTGTACAGTTGTTCATTTACATCTGTAGAAAAGTTGATAAGTGTTCAAATATCATGTGTCAAGGTCAGGTCTAAATGAGTTTGAATAGCATCTGTAGACCGAGATAAACTGTATGATTTTAAAATAGGCTGTTTATCTTCTAAAAATGAGTAAAACTGAAATGACTGGTTAAAATATGCTTTAGATCAACATAGAGAAACACAGACCTTTTTATCTATAGGCTAGCATAATTGGTAAATAAACAGACATTAAAGCAGATTTCTTAGGTCTCCCTTATTTAACCGGGTTCAATCAGGATTATAAAAGTCGCTGATGAAGAGGGTCACAACACCGTTTTCCTCAGTTATTAGTATGAATGTGCAAATAATTTTCTTTCATTCAAGACAAATATAACTAATGCAAATGGGTGCAGTGACAAATGTAGAACCATTTCATAGAATTTTTGTGTTACACTTGAATCAATCTGTCCATTGCGGCAAAATTGTTTCAAAGCAACTTTAAATTAATACATTTTTGGTCCTTAGCAATTTGTGAATTACAGTTCTCCTCCATTTCAATAAAAGCAGGGCAACCAAAACAGATAGAGGTGCAACATGCTTCCATTTCTCATTGATTAAAGCACCTTTCTCCTTGTGCTGAGGTGCAATCAAATTCCCCAGCCGGTGTCTTAGTCAATTAAGGCTTATGCGTCTCGGCCCTTCTGAATTCTAATAGGATAGAGGCTGAAAACACTTTAGCAGTGTTAATGTGTTGGGTAAAATGGATAATGGAAACTTTTGCTACTCATGTATGCACTTTAATCTCCCTGTGCACAATGCTGGTACAAGAGAGGGACGGAAGGACGAAGTAATGTGGACTTGTAATACAACGATGCTATTTGTACTCTAGTATTCATTTGATTTACATATTTAATTATCTGTTGATGTTGTTCACTCAGTCATACAAGCTGGTCATGACTCATGCACCCTCTGGATGAAGGGTAAATCGGTGCGAATTTACAGATCAACAAACAGAGAATGAGAGCTCTCTCTCTCTCTCTCTCTCTCTCTCTATATATATATATATATATATGCTTTGCATAATACATAATACATATGTATGCTTGTAAACTGTACTGGAAAGTGTAGTTCATAATGCACAGATTAGTAACGTGCATAAAACAATTTTGTCATATCAATGATGTGTCAATAACGATAATAAGCTTCATTATTGCAACACAAAATAAGTAAACGCTTATGCCATCTATAGGCTATCTATAAAAAACAGTACAGTGCACTTTTCACTTAAGGGCACAGACAAAAGCAAAAAAAATATTCTTTTGTGTTTAAATGTGTTCAGACTGTAATACACTGGCCAAAGGCTAGCTTATACTTTAGACATTTGTAGGCTGTATAACTCATTGTAGCCTTTAACATAGGCAATTAGTGTACAGTGATAAAATCAGAATATCTATTTATTCCAGGAGACAGTTTATTTATGACAAATTTCAGCCTCGTATTTGGAAATGTCCATGTCTTACCTTGCGACTCAGTAATCCAGGTGTCCGGCTCATTCGATTTGATTCAGTGACAATTTGGCATTCGACTGGCTTTCCACAGAAATGTCAAACGGTTTGAATACGAGTCTCCATTGCAGAAGCCCGTGAGGCGCCGGTAAACTCGGCGAACAACAATACCTCTGATTTCTAAGGATGAACACGAACAACGAAAACAATGAACCTGCTAAACGTGAGTCATTTCTCGAGCAACAGATATCCAACTTGACTAATGCCAAATATATCTGATAAACGCCGGTAAAATTACTGTCTGTAACACAGTACAGCTTTAAAACAGTCTTACTGTAGACCTCACCTCATAGTACGAGTCTGCGCGCATCTTTCATTTGAATCATAAGCTGTTCAGGACCGCGCGAACTTTCTTGTCCGAATCTCCGCGCGCAGCTTTTAAAACCCAATATCTGCTACAAAATCTTTCCCTGTCCCATTGGTTTTACTGTATGAATTCATAAAGTCGCCTTAGATCGCCTTTGCTCTGTGTGAAGCTGTAAATTCCCGTTCAGTAAAAGACAATATGTTTCGTTCTGAGAGAACAAGGTAAGAATGCTGTCAGTGACAGAGTGAACGGACTTTCCGTTGTGCGTCTCTCCAAAAAGAATACAATATGTGCCATGAGTCTTGCGTGCGTCGATGCGTTTCTGTCGACTCTCCTCTAACCGAGATAAAAACATAATACGGCAGGTTTGCGTGGGACGAGGATCTTACAGCTCTAAAGCGTATTGATTTCACATCTTGTGAGGGAAGCTCTGCCGTGGATATTAACGATAAAATTTACAGCAAAGTATTTTATCTAGGCTATCTATTTATGTAGCCCATTTATTAGTTTAAGTGTACATGGAAAATAACTGTAGAGGAACAAAAAAGGACATGATTATGAAAAGGGATCCTTCTGTCCCTCATGAACATGTGTAAACAATGACTTCAACAAAGAGAAGCCTACTTTTTTAATGTATATATTATAGCGAGATTAAACATGTTTTACTTTACATTTTATTGATGATGACACCCAATCTTTCAAGACATTATCTGTTATTTGACTATTATATTTTTCAGCCTATATTTTTGTAGGTTTGCCATCCTAAATGATGATTGCGTATACCAAATTTCTGACTATTTTTAATTTGGCTTAATATGGCAAAAATGCTATTTTTAACATTCTTCATCTGATTGAATGTTTATTTATATAAAGAATTTTGCTTTAAAATCACCTTTTAAAAACGGGTACACACGGCACCCATTTCTTGGAATGACCCAATAGTGTAAGATAACGCTGAAGACATAAAGATCTGTGCTTGTAATCACACTAAAAAGGATCAATTCAAAAAGATTTTGAAACTGCATTTTATTCCTAGAATTCTAAAAGAGAATTCTCAGCTGTCTATGTAATGTACTTAATGTAGGCTAATAGAAAATAGGAGGAGGTGGTGTTTCTATAAAAAGTAAGAGTCTGATGGGGACACAGCAGGAGGGAAATGCTCCGTTGTGTCCATGTCTGAGTGCAGAATTGATGTGCCTCAAAATCCCCTTTCATGTGCTCCGTTGGATCTGTAAAAGGGGGAGGGCAAAAAAGGGGTGACAGAGATACCGGCTGAACAGCTAGTTGATGTCATTGCTCAGTAAATCATTTCTGGGGAAAACAAGAACATGGGGAAAATAGATTGTAGAGAGGAAGTGTAAAGGAGAATATGTCAATGTGCGTTATAAAACCGGACTTTTCTGATTCAGTGGTTAGAAGCAGTAAGCCCTGGGTGAAAGCATGCCATTTAATAGACTGCTGCCTTTTTGAGGTGGCATGTGTCCACACTTTGCTTTTCGCTTCAAAAACAGGCTCAGAGCAAACGGCTGCTCTACACGCTCTCAACCAAAATCCATCACATCATCACCCACAGCGTTCGACTAGCACAGAGTGAGGTAAAGCCTCATTGCACTTTTCCCTTCTGCCACTGTTTACGTTATCATTTATATGTGATTTCAGACCTTCTCTTTTGTCCATTTTGCTTGGAAAAAGGAAGGCTGTTGTACCTGCGGGCTTAACTTAAGGTTCCGATGAGCTTTGAGATTCAATTTATTTCAGATGAAATTACTTCAGTCCTTTTGCTACAGAACATTAGAGCTGCAAATGAATATCCTTGGGGTACACTTCTTTGGGGTCCATCTGGAGATGGCTATCAGACAGATAGAGAATATTTGAGAAAAATGTACAGCCATGGTCAGTTGTGACTCAACAGGAACTTGTGGACACTACGTCTAAATTCATAGTCTGCACCCTTCGAAGGCCGCATTTGAAGCCTGATTGTTTCACCCTGGCACGGCGAAGCTGTTCTAATTCTGAGGCTCTTTCAAATGCTTCCTTCGTTTCCTGTGAAATTAAGGATACAACAGGATCGTTTGCAGCCTTGCCTACCCCAGAATTCATTGCGCGCCAGTGACGATAGGATTTTTTTGGAGAGAAATTGCTGAATTAGTCTTTTAAACGTAAGTATTTGGTATTCAGCTACATTGAAGTCAATGTTTACGTTACTGCCACTCATCAACGGCAGCTGTCACAGTTGCAAGGTGACAAGCACAATCCTCTGTAGGCTTGATCGTCCCATTTAACAATGCTCTGTCCGACCTTTTTGGCCTTTGAAGGATGCAGCATCTGAAGTCTAAGTTCTTTGAGGGATTTAGGCTCTGAATTGATACACAACTAAACATTCAGCATTGTACAAACTCTTTAAGAGTCCTGCACAAGGCTGCTGTTGACATTCACATTGTATAACTACTGTATTAAAATGATAATGGTTAGAATGGTTTGCCTTGGGCTTGGAAGAACTCAAGATGAAATAGCAGAAAGGGAAACATTTGTAGTGACCTCCACATAACATAAAATGTGGTCCTTGTGCATTGGTTTTAGCCAACAGAAAATCAGCCGTATCAAGAAATGCAACAAGCACACAAATTGAAGCACATGTGCAGGGTAGTGCAGTCAGCTGGCCATAAATTGTGGCTCATTAGCTCAGTACCTCTATGGTGTGAAAAGAAAATAGATAATTTTCTCTGTGGCAAATCTCCAAGGCATATTGTAATTGGAAAAACTTTACTAAAATAAAAAGGTGTATTAAATCCATGTAGATAGATTTACTCTAGCTCCTTGTATATGTAGAAACTGTTCCTTCATATTCCCTCAAATTTTTTTCTATTTTACTCCCTAAATGAAACATTTTAAAGATAAACCACAAAGAATTGCATCAAAAGAAACATACCAATGAACTGAAAGTCAACAAATACCGTGGACTTCTGTCCTAGAATCCCTATTTGAAGGTGGCAAACATGTGCATGTGCTAAAGGATAAAACGACCTCATGGTTTAAGTACGAATGGTTTGAAGCTGTCACTTTAGAAAGTGTTTTCCTGCATATCTCCAATTCCCAGCTGTGACCAAACTGTTTCTGGTTCACTGGTAGACGTGGTGCAAAAAAGGGACTTTTGCAATTTGAAAAGCCCATAACATGTTCATTATTTTCAAGTTGTTTAAAAATTAATTTAAAAGGGTAAAATGAAAATGAACCTGTATGATTTTCTTTTTTTCTGTTGAACATGGAAAAAAAAAAAAAAAAAAAGAAGAAGAAGAAAGTCTGTGAGGTCCAGTGTTGTTTTGGACCCTATTGACTTTCATTGCATCGACGAAAACAGCTTAAACATTCTTCAAAATAAAAGTTCTGCAAAACAAATAGTTACCCAGGTTTGGAACATTAGGATCTGTAAATGACATTTTTTTCAGATATTTAAAATAATACAAAGTCACTTGTATCTTTGATAATAGATGATTTTTTCCCCTTTGATAAACCGCAACCTAGTCTGCCCTCATATTGCCATTTAGATTTTGATCCTGATACCCATTTGTATGAAAAGACTTGGAAAAACGTTAAATTATTCACTTCTTATTCACATGCACCTGGCAGGATGTGCTATATTTTACATACAACATAAGCGGATTAAATTGTTTCACAACTTTGATTTTGTATAAAATGAAGAGACAGTAGGTCTCTGAGATTTTGTGTGAAATATGACAGTATTAGGTGTTATCACCAACTCCTGTTCCTCATTTGCTCCCTAAAATCTTCCATATTCATGGAGTGGCTAAAAATACATGTAGCATCTCTGCCGCTTACCCTGCCCCCTGCTCCATGGGGGCTCCCAGCAGAAGAGGTGGTATGAGGTGGAATTTGACATGGATCACCCTACAGGTGAACCCACAGTTGTGAGGGCTTTCAGGCATAGCAGGAATTTTTCTTCAAAACATATGTGTTGGTGAGGCAGATTACAGGTTTTTCCTCTGTGGATGAGGTGATTGACAGTACCGGCTCAAAGGCAAATTTCTGCTGGATAGCATTTGAGTGCACCACATGGGAAAGAGAGCTCTGTGCTTCCATTGTGTTGCTGCTTTAAAGGGGTCATACACTTACCTAAATGATTATTAGGAACACCATACTAATACTGTGTTTGACACCTTTCGCCTTCAGAACTGCCTTAATTCTTCGTGGCATTTATTCAACAGGGTGCTGAAAGCATTCTTTAGAAATGTTGGCCCATATTGATAGGATAGCATCTTGCAGTTGATGGTG